ACACACACACATACATATATATATCTTAAATGAATTGAACTGTCTGGCAATCTTTTTTTTTAGTTTTGGATAGAAAGCGGTGGTTAGAACCCGTCAGGTTTTACTGCTATTCGGTTTCCTTTGTAGAGTTTTCCCTCAGTTTCTGCTCTGGGGACAACCTTTTACCAGATAGCAAGTGAGAGAAAAAGGCAACACTAAACAGACAGAAGTTCTAGCATTCCCCTACTTAACTTGTGTCTGTTATTGAAATGTCACCTCACATCCTGTCCTGGGGACAACCTTTTTATCAGGCAGCAAGTGAAGGAATCTCTCCAGCAGAGCCTTTGACCGCAGCAAAACATTTGAGGAGTTCTAATCCTTCCACACACTATGCAAGACGAAAAAAAAATAAAAGAAGACGTTTGTGTTCGTGAAGCCTGTGATTAATGAAAATTCATTAAAGATGCTACACTTTTGTTCAGACCTATTTTTTTTAAATTCAATTGTTTTTTGAAATTCTAGAAACACAATGTTACATACAAGCCACGTCAGCAAGTCGTAAAACATGGTCCTACGAACAATGTCATAACGGATAACATATTATTGACAAGCTTTGTAAAGTTGGTTAGACATGTACATACAAAAGATGAATTGAAGCAGTATTATAGTGTATTGATCAACAGCAAACAAGTACTATTATTTTCATGTCAGTACCAGTTGACTTAGCAAGTGACATACAACAACTAAACAAACAGATAAATAAAAGAAACTAGCTATCCACCCTGCCCATCTTCAAAAATAAAACGGAGTGACCAATACTCATATCCTTACATATTACAGAAAGGTCCAAAATTGAATTCCTAGTATGATCAATACTTTTTGTGTCCCCATGTGTTTTCTTTCCTACTGAAACAAGTGAGGTGTAACCAATGCAGGAGGTGCCAAGCCAGGTATCGATAGCCAGGGATCCCACACATTTTGCGGACATCCCCCATGTTGAAACATCAATTTTTCTTCGGGCAACATTAGGTTTGTCTGATCTCAAATCTAGCTGGTTAGAGAGACAACCACTTCAGAGCTATTGGTTTCCTCACTACAAACAGAAGACGTACAAGCAGTGCAGATACCTTTCGGGAGGGTAGACTTATTTTAATTGCTTCTTTTATAAGAAGTGACTATGATATCTTAGAGACTAACAAGTCAAACCAAACACATGATAAAAATTACTATGTTTATACGGACTTTTGAAAAAAATCTGTAAAATAAAAAATGTGTAATGCGCCAAATGCAGGGTCTAAAAACAAAACATGAATCTCGTGGCTGAAACTTTGCTGCCGCATATGTCGCGGGTGTGGCAGTCCTTTGAAATTAATGGGCCGACCCGCAGGAAATGCAGACAAGTGTACACAAAAAGTGTGAACGAGGCCTTAGGGCCTGTTCACATGAGATCAGGTCCTGATCAGCAGACGTGGAGCTGCTGATGCATTGCGTTTTGGCTGCGTTCCAGAAAAAAAAAAAAAAAAATTTTTTTTTTTTTTGCTGGAGTGGGGCTGTTAGTATGTTAGCTGCAGCACAGTGCGTTTTTGACACGTTTGCGTATCCGTTCCGTTTCCGGACCTGACAAAATGTGACATGCAGTATTTTTTCTGTCGTAAGCTGAACGGACTGCGCACGTGAGAACTGGAGCCCATAAAACACATAGGGATACATTGGGATGCATTTTGAGTGCAGCAGCGTACGGAGCCGGTCAGCACACAAAACGGACGTCGTGTGAACAGGCCCTTAAAGTGGAACA